AGCAAGGCCTGATGAAAACATGACCTGGGCTAAATTTAGCTGTGTTTGTGTGCATAGAAAAGCAAGGACAAACTGCTTCCCAATCCCCCCACAGAGGGAAAACTCAGCCGGCCAGGAGCCCCTGTCACACACCTCCGTCCCACAGCGGTGACATAGCGCACTCACTCCACAGGGCTGCGCGCTGCTTCCTGGTGAGAGGCTCCTAGAACCCTTCCTTTATGTTGAGAGGGGTTCCTGCTGAAACCACCCTTTCCAAAGGCAACACGATTTAAATTCCCTTTATCCACAGGGATAATATTTCCATCTGTGTGATCGTGGCAGTTGGAGAAAGGTTTGTAAAGACAGATATATTTGATGAGGCATTTTTTTTTCCCCAAATGTTGGATGTTCCCAGCTTGGGGTCATTTTGCTTTTATTTGTGATTGAATGACGGTAAATTTCATAAGCCACCAAACTCCTCGGAGTTCCTCATGCAGCCTATATAAGACGAAGGATTCCCGAAAAGAGGGAAAACCTGAAAACCTACGCCCTCAGCACTGGGAAGCACAGAGCCGCCCCCAAGGACAGGGGCGCGCCAGAGTGAGAGCGTGGCTGTCCGCCTTCACCACACCCCTATTTTTCAGCACTGCTATCAGAAAAACTGCATTTATAGCATAAACCACCCAAAAGTGGTATGTTCTCTGAGAAAGAATAAGAGGCTGATATTTGAAGTTTGCTTCAGGGAAAACCCCAACTATTCAGTTAGAACCAACAAGGCTTGATTTTTCTGATTATGGGAAATTCTTTCTATTGCAGATCTCTCAAAGGCCTTAGTTTTAACAGAAATCGGTCCCAAACGTGACCCTGCCACCCTGAAATTGTTCCTGAGTAACATGGAGAGGTTACTCCACGCCAAAGCTCATGGGTATGGACTTTTAATTCCTGGAACACCCTGTGACCAAAGGGAAAAGGGCCAAACGCACAGTCTTGCTGAAGAGTCCCCAGGGATTTAGAGAGGAAAAGAGCCACATGTGCAGCAGGGATGGAGGAGCACGTGGCCTCCTGCTGCAGCTTCAGACAGCATCTCGTGACCCATGCACCCCCAACCCAGGCAGCATGGTGGCTGGGAGCAGGGTAACCAGGCACTGGGAAGACGGTGGGAGGACCTTGTTCCTTCCCTATCATTGCTTTGAGATTGCAGGTGGCTGATCCCCACCCAGCCAGCCAGCAGATCCCCTGTGTACTTAGAGTCCCTTGAAAATGGACTTGGCTTCAGACAGACCAAGAACCTAATAAGCATTTAGGGAAAAGAAATCAAAGTCCAAGTGAATCCTCATCTCCCATTCTCCCTCTTGATCTGTACTGTAACTAGTAGCCATCTGAGGCTATTAAATTTAGTTCGTTGTTGTTAGGTGCCATTGATGTTGGACATAGCTATGTTGTACGTAGCAACCCTATGTATAACAGAACGAAACTCTGCCCAGTCCTGTGCCATCCTCACAATTGTTGCTGTGTTTGAGCCCATTGTTGCAGCTATGTTGTCAATTTAGCTCATTGGGGGTCTCCCTCTTTTTTGTTTACCCTCTGCTTTACCAAGCATGATGTCCTTCAGGGACATGTCTCTCCAGATAACATGCCCAAAGTATGTGAGACAAAGTCTTGCCATCCTCACTTCATAAAAATAAAATTTAAAATACAGCTCTTTCATTGCACTAGCCACACGTCACCTGCTCAGTGACAGCTGGGCGGTCCCCCCTGGGTGCCGACGGTTGCTCAGCAGGCTCTCGCACTCTCCTCCAGGGTCCGTGTGATCGGAAGCTCCACCTTGGCCCTGTGCCACCTGGCCGCGGGTGCCGCCGATGCCTACTACCAGTTTGGCCTGCACTGCTGGGACCTGGCTGCCGCCACAGTCATCATTCGTGAAGCCGGCGGGATCGTGATGGACACTTCGGGTGAGTCCTCTCTCAGGTCCTCAGGGCACAGGGGAGCAGACACTAGATCAGCAAAGCCGCGAGTGCGGTGGCTAGGGCCCACTTAGCTGACTTTCTCCCACTCCTCAAAGCTACCAATGAGACGCCAAGCAAAGGCACCATAAGCACAGTGGGCCCAGCACTAAACTTTCTTGTCGTTTGTCCCTCTGGGGATAAAGGAGACCACGGGATCAGAATCTGCTGGCTGGAAAATAACACATTGCACTCGACACTGAGATAGCACTGGCAGTTTCCAGAGGGCTCTCACACATGCAGACCTCTTGAGAACGCCAGGAGATGGGCAGGTGTGCGAGCCCACACTGCACGGTCTG